TGGGGTAGTCATGGAATGCAGTGCTGAGTGACCTATGGTTAACATTTTTTTCATGTACTCTGTTATAGAGTATAGACTACATGCAAACATTTAATTTTCTTTTGCTATGTGGTTTGATTTTGCAGGTTCTTGCAGATAAATATGGTAATGTTGTTCACTTTGGTGAGCGCGACTGCAGCATCCAGGTACTGATACCATGTTTTAGTCCTCTCTAACTTTGCTGAGTCTTCTTTATCAAACCAATTCATAAAGAAATCACTTTTAAATGTAAACGGAAAAGAGCTACTCAATCTGAAGGCTGTAAGTTCTTGGAAAGGCAAAACATTTGAAGCTAATCATTCAGTTTTTTAGGAGTGTTATTTTTATTGCAAATGGGTGCAAAATAAAATGCTTTTTCACTTTTGAGCTTACGTAGAAACTGTTAAAACCTACATACACTTTATGGGTTCATGCTGGAGGTCCAATTTTATGCTAATCATCTCACTTACAACTTATTAGGGGAGCTCTGAAATTCAATTATGTCTTACAATTTGAATAGCAGTTAATAGCAGTCAACAACCAAGGAAATCCTTTCTTGCTTCTAAAAGTGCAAAGCAAAAAGTTCAGTTAGATGAGAAAGTAAAAATTTTCTTGAAGTTTAAATACTGAAAATGTAACTTTCAGGAATAACAAAAGGAATGAATTTATTATTTTATGAAACAACTATTGTTTAAATTGATGTATCACTTTAACCTTTGCTCATTTCTAACAAATATAGTCTTATATTTTACCATTTCTTTTTACTTTATAGCAACTTTTTGGACAGAAAAACTAAGCAGCCAAAGTCACAATTATATGGAGCCTAAATAACCAATCTGGACTCAGAGGAAAACTTTACTGCTAGAAACTCTTAGATAATCTAAACTTGAACAAAATTAACCCTTGGGTGATGGCTTGGAAAATTACAATTCTGCCTATCTAGAAGAAAGTCCTAAATTGCTAGTACCAAAATTATAAACATAAAAGCAATTAAGTTTAATTTTCCATGGCTACATTAATTCTGATTCTCAAACAGATCTGATCACCGTTTCTTGTTGGTACTGATGGCATTATAGTCCTGATAATTGGCTCCAATATTGCATCCCTCTCTTAAAAGGTGCAAGTATATGCTTGCAAAGGCAAGCAGGCTGGTGGCTATTCTCAAATCTTTGCTGCAGTATGAGGATGTGCTAAATATTAACCAAAATTTTGGCAGCAGATATGCTCTGTTGTTTTTCTTTCCTTCCCCTTAACTCTTAATTGAAAGAATAACTAGCTTACTGCCATAAAATGATGTTGAATGTGACTTACCATTCAGAGACGTAATCAAAAACTTCTAGAAGAGGCTCCTTCTCCAGCATTGACACCAGAGCTGCGGAAGGCCATGGGTGATGCAGCAGTTGCTGCAGCAGCATCTATTGGGTACATTGGTGTAGGAACTGTTGAATTCCTTTTGGATGAAAGAGGTTCCTTCTACTTCATGGAAATGAACACTAGAATCCAGGTTGAATAAGGATTTGTGAACTCTAATTCTTGTTTTACCTATTAGGGCATTAATTAGGAGTACCGCTAAATGTGTATTTTCATCAATCAAACTCAGGTCGAGCATCCTGTAACTGAAATGATTTCCTCTGTTGACTTGATTGAAGAACAAATTCGTGTAGCTATGGGAGGAAAACTTCACTACAAACAGGTATTGAAATGCTAAGTTTCAGCTAATAATTTTGGAGCATAAAACACAATTATTCAATTGCTCATAAAGTATGATTGGCAGGAAGATATTGTGCTCAGAGGGCATTCAATTGAATGTCGTATCAATGCTGAAGATGCATTTAAAGGGTTCAGACCTGGACCAGGTATGCTTATAGGGTGTTGTTTTATGTTTATGTGCAAACTATCGTTGCAATAGGTTCATTTTTAATACTTGCCAGCATCAGCACTTTGCTTGTATTTGAAAATTTTCCATTATTCTTCTGTACTGGAATCATCCAAGCTTGCATAAGCTCTTTTTGCCAACATTGTTAGGTATAACCTTTATCTTATATTAACATTATAGGGTATGTTTCTTTACTTGTATTCTGTTTAATTTTGAAGTTTATACTCGTAATTCCTTCCTCAATTTCCAACCCTTGGATGAGGTTTTCAAATAACCAAGAGAATAGGAAGGAATGGAAGGACTTCTTCTACTTGTTTGTTACTGTAAACACCTCCTGTGCTTTCTGAATGACAGGAAGAATAACATCATACTTGCCGTCTGGAGGGCCATTTGTGCGAATGGATAGCCATGTTTATTCTGATTATGTAGTTCCTCCGAGCTATGATTCACTACTCGGAAAGGTTTGGAATATTTTTCTTATACCGTTCATGTTTATGACATGTAAGATTATGTATGTATGAGCAGTTTGATGCAAATCGTCGAAGGTCCAAGAAAGTTAATTTGGTAAGTGAAGGGAATACTAAAACTTAATTTCCAGAAGGATTAATAACTTGTCTTACATCAAGGTGCTTATAGTAAATTGCATTATGTTTTTAACTTTGCCAAGGTTATTCTGAACATTGTAAAACATATAGCAAAGTGTCATGCAGAACTGCATAACGTTTTGATTCATGTTTGCAAGGTGCAGCACAAAGTGTAATTATTTTGTGCCAGTAATTTAAAGTTGCCATGCTTACAGGTCTGCTGCTCTAAAATGAAAATTTTAGCTTTAACAATGTTCTTCTGACTGTACTCTGTTGTAGCTTATTGTATGGGCTCCAACAAGGGAAAAAGCAATTGAGCGCATGAAAAGGGCTCTTGATGACACTGTAATTACAGGTACTAGTTATTGACCTAGAGTTTACTGTTTAGAATTTGTTTGGTGTGCTGTACTATTTTCTTTCCTTTGCTTTTCTATATTTTCTTAGTCAATTAGTTTAAACATGCACATAGTAAGGTTGCATGGGACTACGCACCATTTCATTGTTTGTATGGGAGAAGAAACCTTTTGTTAGAAAAAGCAACTCTCTGCATATATTGAATGATTAGCTACCATTGACCATTGTCCTCGTGGCTCCTGTTGGTTCAGCTGGTTCTACATGTATGTAATTGAAGATGCTTCTACTAGAAAGAGTTGCTTCATTTTCTTTTGTTCAGTCTAATTTTGTTATCAACGAAATTCTATCCCTCAAGTAATCTCCTTGTTATTGCTTGTTGTTTCAGGGGTTCCTACAACCATTGAATACCATAAACTCATCCTTGATATTGAGGTTGGTCGTCCTATCTTCTGAATGTGGGATATGTATATCTAGTTGGAGAATATTATGCTTTTAGGTTCAAAATTATGCAATCTAACATGCAACGCTTTACAGGACTTCAGAAGTGGAAAGGTTGACACTGCTTTCATTCCTAAACATGAAGAAGAGTTAGCAGCGGTAAGAAGTTGTTTCATTTTATCAAGAATGCGGTTTGTACTTTATGCCAAAATTTTAATACCAGTGGGTTGGTAGCTAGGAGGCTGAGCAGACAGGTGATATTGGCTAAAATTTAAGGTCTCTGATTCTTTTTCAGATTGTTGGTCTATCGAGTTACATTCTTCAATCATCTTGGTCTATATAGTCCTGGACTTTCATAATAGCATCCTTCATAAGTTTCAAGAAAGCACTCGTTAAGAACTTCTTAAAGAAAAAGGAAATTTGTTTGATTTATTTTTTTTAAGCAACATAGGTTTGACGATAATACTTCAACGATAGCCCTAAACTAGGCTTCACTTTTTCCACTTTTACTACTTGCTTTGGTTTATCACTTTCTGGTTTAGTAAAAGTAGTTGCAAAATGCAAATTCATTTGTGGTGGAACATAAACAAATAGGTAACGTTAACACCAATTCAAGCATATTGATTGTACATAAAACAAAACCATACCTTTGTTTGCACCGTTTCAGTTCTTGGGGAGAATACAGAGATTGGTATGTCTTTACTACTGTAAAATGTTTTTTTATGATCATGATTTTGTTACATAAAAGTTAAATTGGTTTACTCTTGCTAGCAATTCTGTGATAAATATTTTATGATTCTTGAATTATTAATGATTCAAGATAACCTCTTTCTTTGTTGCCTACAGCCCCAGAAAATGGTACTTGCAACCCCGACCAAAGAATTGACTAGTGCAACTGCGTAGAAGGGTTAGTATTCTGCACATTTTTTTCATTTGGTTTAAGCCGTCGAGCTGTCAACTTGGCATTCGTTCAACGGCCTTTTTTGCTTTGAACAGACTGCATTCGGTTTGAACTTCTGTAATATTGCTTTCGCTAGTGCGTTCCATACGAGAACTTGTATGAAATTTTGATAATCATCAGGGTTTCTTTCATTCCACTGTGGAATTGAAATGTTTGCATAATGATGTAGAATTTTGGTGTGCTTATTGCACTCAAACTCTTAGAAATAGCTATAGTTTGAAATGAGTTTTCTTTGTTTGATTCTGGTGGTATGGTAAGCCATTCATTCAGCCAAGAAACCATACTAATGCAATGTATTTCGCCAGACATTCCAAATATTTGCATTCTATCATTCATGATAGTTGAAAATTTTTAAGAGGTTGAGTTTTTTCAACAAAGAGAAGAAAAAAAGAAGTAAATTGTGCTCGAATATTTGGCTCAATGGTATTTATCTGAGTGATTCTCCCTTCAGTCTTTAGACAAATAAATAGAAAATTAAGGGTAAATCATGAATATCCTATGTTGTTAGTTTTCCATAATTTGGAAGTGTTGACCAATTTAGTGGAAGTTATGACCCAAATGGGTATTAAACATATACAGTTGTTAACAACAATTTCCAGATTATTAAGATGAGATACAGTAGTTGTATCATCATTTGTCAATACTTTTCCAATAATTCCTTCTTTGGGTGAATGTCATTTTCTATTAAAGAGAAACATACTTGCCATACATTATTATTACATAGGTAACCTGATTGAATTGAAGTTGGTTAACTGAAATGCAAATTAGGTAATAATTAATATAGTGAACACTGCTGAAATTGAAGATATTAGAAAACATTTTTTGGGGGGTTTCTAAATTTCTGAATGCCAAAAGGAAAGAAATCTCATATGCCTCTCAAGGAAGGATTCTTGCAATCAGAATGCTGCAAGGTGCCGCTCCTAGCTCATACAAACAAACTATTGGTTTTTTCATTCAGACATCCTTTCCAATGAACGCTGTTTCCTCCCCTTCCTTCTATATATATATATATATAGGTGTTTGATTAAACTGTCTATTATGCGGCAGCAACCCCTGCGAAGAACACCTCCGGCCCAGAGCAAGGAGACACAGAGCAGTCGAGTTGCTTCCTGGCTTCACGCCCACATATTTCTTTGTGATCATCACTTGTTATTTGTTTGTCACGGCACTCTGCACTGCAATATGCTCTTTCCCCTCTGCAAAAAGGTCCATTTGATTTATCATTTAAGATTCTTTCTGCTATGCAAGAATATGCCACTATACCAAGAAAAGGAAATCTTGTCTTGAGGTTGAAATTTCAAGGCAAGCTCCCTACGAAAATCAACACCACATGCATAAGCAATCCTACGTATGTTTTAGATATTTCACTACTCCAATAATATCTCCAACGATTGGAGAAATCATAGCCACTGAATTTAGGGAAAACAGGACCCAATACAGAGCACTGACTATGAGTTATCCACCCAATTCAGACGCTACCTACCCCCAGACTCTGTAACCCTCACTACACATACAAAACAAAAGCTATGCTCCTTCAACTCTTCATTTTCCATTAAGTATCTGTGTTCAACACATATCCAACGGAAATGAGTATGAAGATTAGAAACTACCCATGTCAGACACATACTCGTATCCGATACTCACCCTCAAGTCCGAGTAACGTAGCAAAAAATAGGAAACAACCTAAAGGTTTTAATCTAATGGATTTCACAAAACTTACTGAATTGAAGGGAAAAAAAAAAAGACTAAAATTTTAAAACTTACTGCAAAAGACATTACATATCCAAAATAGGAACCAAATGCAGTTCAAAGCACTCCAAGACAGGTCCTCATTCTAAAATTCAAATTCCGCAACATTAATTGAGAAAACTTTTCAATCAGCGCCATTTCTTCATACAAGCAAATGGTGATTATGCTGATTATAGTATGAATCCTTAACTTTCAACATCGTATAATCAACATAAACAAAATCAAGTGAGTTTTGAGTAAGGTACCCAGGTCTAGAACAAATGGCTTACAACTTAATAAGCAGCTTATAGCATACTGATTGCGTTACTTGTAAACCAAAAAGTTTATAAAACTATCAGAACCAACACAACTGTGAAACTAAATGCAATTTATTTACTGATGTAAGCTGAACATGCAGAATTCATATTTGTTCCCATTGTTCTTTAAGCTGTACAGATGTAACAGAATCATATTAACACTTGGAGCAATACATTTGCATATAGGCTATATATCTGGCAAAATGTAAGCAGCCTAATATTTTAAGTTGTGATAAAGCCTCAGACAGGATTCTATTGAGTTAAGGCTAGAATCTACCAGCCCTTACAAGTATAGGTAGACAGCTATCAGGCAGAGGCCAGTAATCATAGTTCTCCTATCCATCATTGCATTTCCAACCAAATCATAAAAAACCTTTGGATCCAAAACACATAACTTACATACCTTTGAAAAGACAATAATCAATTGTAATTTGTAATTCTTTTCAAGGAACTATAGCTAACTACTTGACCAAGAGATCCATTTCTACTCAGGACTGGGATAAATAATGAATGGAGCTGCTAAACTTGCAAAATTCCTAAAAGTCTACCCATTAACTAAAGAAAAAAGCATATACAGAATCATGACCCAGTAATAATCAGATCATCAATATCCATCAATTCACTGTAAATGAGCATCACTTCAAAATAAGAGCAGAACCCATATTCAAAAACATCATCAAGAATTAAAATACACATACTTAAAACAATTAAAGAAAGAAACAAAAATACCTGTACATGAAAATGTCCAAACCATGAAGTTCCCTCTTGCAAAGATGACAAGAACTCAAAAAGTCATCACTCCAAATCTCCCTCTTGACTTGACCAACATCACTTTTATTAGCCGAAGAAGAGGAGGCAGTGAAAACACTGGAATTCTTCTCTTCATCACCAAAGTAAACATGTTTCTTGATCAAATTGTCGCCAAAATGAGAAATTACACAAGTGTAATTCTCAGATAATTCATCCAAGCTCTCCGAATTACGGCCACCTCTGAAGTTGGCTGCTGCTTTAGCGGATGATACTATTGGTATGGGGGTGGATCTTGGCGATCGAGCAAAGCAAATAGCTTCATGGGTATTGCTGGAATCAGTCATAGCGGCTACTATGCCTAGCCCAACCACTCCGTCTTGGAAGTTCCTTGGGGATTTTGTTGGGTTTGGACTGGAAAATGACTCCGAGAGAGTGGTGAACAGCTTCAGATTGATTGCGGATCTCTTTTTCCCACCAAAATTCTCCATTTTCTAGGAAAATACCCCTCAGACTCTTGCAATTCGATCAAGAAAGCTGAGAATTTAATTGGAAGGATTCGTTGGGCTCTCAATTTCCGAGCATCTTCTTTCAACAAGGGGCCCTGACTATTTCCAGGAGAACAAAAGGAGATGGGGATTAAAGCAGAAGGAAAAAACCGAAAAGAGCGAATGAGAAGCAAGCAAGTAAAGAGATTCCCTTTTTGAGAGAGAAAGAGAGGAAGAGACCACAGCCTTGTTTCTTTATTGTTTCATTCAGCTTTTCTCTGCACTTCTCTTTCGCCCTTTCTCTCTTCCCTTCTCTCTCTCTCTCTGGTTTGTACGGCCAACGAAGAAATGTATATACACTCTACTCTGGCCTAATAACTAACCACTTCCACGTGTCCCACTGAACCCAATCCCACACCCGAGTTTTAATAATTAAAATAATTCAATTTGTAATTAAATATTTTTTTTTACAAAATTAAAATAATTCAAAATCTCAAACTTATCTCATTTGATTAGTGTACTCTTTACTTAAATTCTCTCAAGAAAGGCCCCATGCATTCCAATATAATATGTTGATATCAAATATTATCACAGCAGCTTAATGGAAATTGCTAAAATACATATGACAAAAATTGGCAATAATTATATTAGAACATTATTAAATTTGTTTTGTATGGATATCAAAATTTTAACATGTATTGTTATGTATGGGGGATTCAAATAGTTTATTTTTTTTATTTGTTGTTTGTTACAAAAAAAAAGCAAAATAGTTTTTTTTTTATTATTTGGATAATGGGAGATTCAAGTCTTAAGTTTTAAGAAAGAGATCATGTATTAACCACTAAACTAAATGTATGCAAAAACATAGTAGTTTAAGCTTATTAATTTGTTAATTATTTCTTGTTTTTATTTCTTTTACAACTCATATAACAACCTCAAACTTCATATAACTTTGATGATTCTATTTGTAAATTTTTGTTTTCTTCCACAAAATTTAAGAAAAAAATTTTTGACCTTATTTTATAAATGAATTTTTTTTTAATAATTTTGATGTTCCATGACTTTTTAATGTCAAAGAGTATAAAAAAAATAATGAAAAATTGATTTTTTTGAAATATATATAAAAAAGAGTATTAAGTGTTTAATAAATTCCAATTGTCTTGCACGCAGCCGTACCAAAACTTCAAAAGATAGTAGATATTGCTGGAGAAATTTTGTTAATATTATTTTTGTTAATTAAATAACACAAAAGTCAAAATTAAAGTTCCTTGTAATTTGTTGCCTTTTACAATTTCTTTTTTACTTCAGAGATAAAACTGAAAATTAAGAAAACATAAAAATTTAGAGTTTTCTAATGTGAAAATTTATAATATTTATATAAGTAAGGATGTAGGTAATTTTTTTAAAAAAACCAAAAAATGAAGTTATTCTCTTAATGATTATATTTTTAAATTATTATTTTATATTAATTAATTAATTTTAGCTTTTAATTATTTATTGCGTAACCGATGGGTACTAATTGCATTGGCTGATTTCAATATCGACCGTCGATGCAACTGATGCAATGTAAGATGACTTAAGGAAAAGGGAGAGGAGAGAAAAGAACATCCAACAAAATATTTCTTTTTATCCAAAATTAAAGTGTGGACTTATGTTATATATTTTTATATTTTATTAAAACAAATCTAAGTGAGATAATAGTCAAGTTTATAAAATAATCTAATAAATTAGACTAAGCTCCAGTATTTTATGTGAATTTAATGGTGTAAATCTGTGCAAAAAATTTTAAATCTTATAATGAGTAGGAATAGAGATTCAGTATATAAGGGAAAAACTAAGTTCATTCTCTTGTCTAAGTATGTATATTGAGTTTCTCACCCATTAAAGGGTTGTAGAAAAGTAGACAAAGACAATATTACAGTGATTTTCAATAACTATTTTGGTGATTATATTATTTTCGTTATTAAAATCCTGGATAGATCGTCTTTTGTGTGTTCTAAATACCACTCATGATAAATTTTAGATAATTTAAGGTAAATTACCCCACCCTTTAGGTTATGTTTGGTATGTTGTTGGAAATGTAATTGTTGAGTATATAATTATTGAAAATGTAATTGCTGAAAATATAACTATGTAGCGTTTAGTATAATAAGGGAAAGTGATGATTGCATAGAATGTGATTGTTGAAAAAATTACATTGTAGAGTTTGGTTTGTGAGCACTTTCCTGAGAATATAATGTAAATTGATAAAATTATACTTATTTATAAAAAACAGATAAGTTGAATAAATTTATAATTTATAATATAAAATTTTAACTTTTCAAACTTTAAACAATTAAAATAATAAATAATAACATTAAAAAATAACATAATATTTTCATATTAATTATTAAAATATTAAAATATGTAAAATTACTAAATATTTATTTTTCTCTTAAACTTATAAAAATTGAAAATAATAATGCTTACTCTTATGACATGAATAATAACAAAAATTATGCAAAGAAGAATATGTTGGACCTTCTCTTCATCAAAAACTCAATTTTGTACATATTTGCACAAGTTTGAATGTCAAACATTGTTCTTTAACGTCTACATAAGAGTATTCATCGATAGATCAATATTGTCTATCGATAGAAGCAATTGGGTGCACCATCTATCGATAGATGGTTCAATATCTATCGAAAGATGATGGATGGGAAAAAATATATAACCTACACAAAAAAAATCTATCGATAGATAACAATATCTATCGATAAATAAAGACATTTAGCCATATGATGGAACGACATCTATTAATAGATTACAATAGATGTACTATTTTAAGCATACATTACGCTTCTTTATCTTAAAACCACGACACCCAAACACCTCATTCCCTCAAATCTTCTCAACTTCATAGTAAAATTCTTTGATTCTAAACAATTTAAAGTGTTTCCTTTTTAATTTTCAGCATCAAAAAACGCAGTTTTTTCTCAATTGCTTCCAAATTACCCTAAAATATAGTTTAGGGTTTCATAAAACTCTAAGGTCTCAATCTCTCCAAATCTTGGTTTCCTTTACGTTTTGAGAGGAATTGTCTTGATTAAATCATTTCTCTCATCCTCCTTGACATTTCTACCAAATCATTTTTGACCAAAACACCCCAAGGATCCAAATTTTATAAGTTTCGAAAATGAGTTACAGACCTAAACGCACAAAGGTGACTACTAACAGGCGTTCAAGTGGCTCTACTGGTGCTGGGACATCTTCAGCATCGAACGCGAGTTCGTTTTTATGAAATTTCACTCATCCATTGCACACTTAAAAATTCAATGACAATTTTGCCAAACGCAAGGTAATGCCTGACGTATAATTGACTTTGATTACTTAAAGTCCATTGATTTCCCATTCCCTGCAAACTTCTAATATTTAAGATGGACACATTACTTACAAGTGAATAGGAAATACTATGAGAATTGAGTTTAGACCTTTTACTTCAATGAAACACAAAAATATGCTGAGTCAAAACTAGGTGAACTAGTGAACCATGATGATAGGTTCATCAATCACGTCATGGGACAATGGATCCTTATTACTCGTGCCCTGATAGAATGAGTCCTTCACCATACCTTTTTCCAAGAAGATATTCTCTATGTCTTTGATAATGGTAACCTCCGATCGACTTTTATTTATCCTCCGCCAAATGACAGAGGTAGTTCTAATTGCACAAGGCTATCTTACTTTGATCAAGTCTTGCACCTCATCATCACTCACACTATGATTAGTGACATCATAGACTTCAAAGTTGACATTCGTTGTGATCTGCCCAAAAATAATGCTTTGTTCAATCCTATCGAGGAGCATAGTATTAAAAAGTTGGATTTTGAGTTCAAAAACAAAACTTGGGTGAAAAAAGGGTTAATCAATAATTCGATATTCGAAGACAAGGGGAATGAAGGTGAGCTGAGTGCATATCCTAGTGGCCCATCTAGTGCTCAACCTAGTGCACCTATGTCCACCACATTCAATGTTGAGGAAGCCTTCACTAGACTCATCTCATTTGTGGAAACAATGGAATCCAGATTGTCTATTCATATGGATGTGTTGGAGGCACAAAATTGTGAGATGTTTGTAGACATCTTTTTTTTTCTTTTTTTATAAATATAATAAGTAATACTTAAAATAAATCACTATAAAAAAAAGAAAAAAAGAAAGAAGAAACTAACAGGCATGGCCTCCATAGTCAAACCACCCTTAGAGCATTCAATGCTCCTTGAGACGGCTGATGTGGGTCACCTCCTAGTGATCTTTTTGACTTGAAGGCCACCCATCTGGAATTTGTGCTGAGAAGAGCATGATTGCCTTTTTTGATTGTCCAAATATTTGGACAATCGGGTTCTATAAAAACCCATAAAAAATCTCTAGTTCAAAAAAGAAGGGGGTAGATTCAAGAACGATAATAATAAAAATCCCATTTTCTTCAAACCAAAAAACTAGATTCAACAAGAAAAACATCTTATTTTTCTCAAAACCACAAATTAGTCACTAAATGCCTTATTTTCTACTAGCAGTCTATCCTAGCCACAATCAAGAAAAAAATCATCAATCACAACAAAAAAAAAACATAAAAAGCATAAAAAAGCCAATCTTTACAAAAAAAAAATGAAAAATCTAGAAAATGGGTTAAGAGGGAACAGATTTTATGGTGTGAAAAGAAGAAGAGAGTTGATTTTTATTGTGTAGGGCTAGAAGGGAGAGTGCCAACAAAAGAAGAAACCTGTTGGCTAGAAAAGAGAGAGCAAAAGGAAGCTAGAAGAAAAAGAGAGAAAGAGAAAGGGAAAAGGCCAACAGGGAAGAGAGAAGGAAGGCAAAGAAAGAAAAGAGAAAGAAAGAAGGAAAAGAGTGACGTCGGTGAGGGAAGAAAGAGAAAGAGAGAAGAGAGATGCCAATAGGGAAGAGTCATTGAGAAGAAAAAAGAGAGAAAAGAGAGCTAAAAGCCAAGAAAAAGAGAAAGAGAGAAAAAAAGAAGAAAAAGAAAGGGCATAGAGAGAAGGGAGAGGTATGAAAGTTAGAGAGAGAAAATGAAAGGGAAAAAAAAAGAAGCTTTTATATCGAGGCATAAAAAAGCAAAATGACACCATTTTAGTGGAGTGGGGAATTGAAAGGGTCAAATCTTAAACGGCGTCATTTGGAGTGGTCTTACAAGCACCAAATGGTGCGTTTTAAGCATGACATTGTGGGCTTGAGAAGTAGATCTGGTGTTGCGATCTTAGGCTTGCTGCGAGCTTGTGGGTTGGGCAAATCTTAACCAAATAATGTATAACTTTTCTTTTTTGTTTGGGTTTTTTTTTAGTTAATATTGGGTCT